CATTGTTGCGGCCAAAACGAGTCATCTAATCCAGCCAACATTAGTTCAAGAAAACACTTTTAAGTTCAGAAAATATTACCGACATCCCCTGGAATATCGTGTCTAATTAGTGAGGTATTATATATATATATATATATATATATATATATATATATATATATATATATATACAACTAATATATATATATATATATATATATATATATATATATATATATATATATATATATACATATATATATATATATACATATATATATATATACATATATATATATATATATATATATATATATATATATATATATATATATATATATATAAACATATATCTATACATGTATATATAGACCATCATATTACAGGACAAGCAGAAGATTCTCGGCCTTGAGCCTGAGAGCCTAGAATAAAAATGTAATAACTATGGTGATGTAATCTCAACAAGGTGACACGGACAATAGCTGCAAGACACCGCCCTTCTCCCCATTGTGTTTCTTCCTGCGGGTTTTATTGAGGAATGTTGTTCACGTGAAATTTGATTTGTGCTGTGGTTCACGGTTTGCACTGTCACGTGACCCAATGACTCGGGTGGTCACTGAGTCACGTGACCCACTGACTCGGGTGGTCACTCAGTCACGTGACCCAATGACTCGGGTGGTCACTCAGTCACGTGACCCACTGACTCGGGTGGTCACTCAGTCACGTGACCCACTGACTCGGGTGGTCACTCAGTCACGTGACCCAATGACTCGGGTGGTCACTCAGTCACGTGACCCACTGACTCGGGTGGTCACTCAGTCACGTGACCCAATGACTCGGGTGGTCACTCAGTCACGTGACCCAATGACTCGGGTGGTCACTCAGTCACGTGACCCACTGACTCGGGTGGTCACTCAGTCACGTGACCCAATGACTCGGGTGGTCACTCAGTCACGTGACCCACTGACTCGGGTGGTCACTCAGTCACGTGACCCAATGACTCGGGTGGTCACTCAGTCACGTGACCCACTGACTCGGGTGGTCACTCAGTCACGTGACCCACTGACTCGGGTGGTCACTCAGTCACGTGACCCAATGACTCGGGTGGTCACTCAGTCACGTGACCCAATGACTCGGGTGGTCACTCAGTCACGTGACCCAATGACTCGGGTGGTCATTCAGTCACGTGACCCAATGACTCGGGTGGTCATTCAGTCACGTAACCCAATGACTCGGGTGGTCACTCAGTCACGTGAGCCAATGACTCGGATGGTCACTCAGTCACGTGACCCAATGACTCGGATGGTCACTCAGTCACGTGACCCAATGACTCGGGTGGTCACTCAGTCACGTGACCCAATGACTCGGATGGTCACTCAGTCACGTGACCCAATGACTCGGATGGTCACTCAGTCACGTAACCCAATGACTGGTGTTTCGTGAAAATGTACTTAGGACAAACGTGATTTTGGTTTGAACAAAGTGTACTTGGTATATCATTGTACACATAATTAAGTGTTGATGACGATGTAATTAGTACACAAATGTACGCGGATGATTAGAGGTTAATTAAGATGTACTTTATACGCCCACGAGCATTAACGATTTCTGACGAGGAAAGTAAAATCATGTTACTGTGCTGCTTTTAATGACACAAGTAAGAACGATAAGATTAAAATAAACAATAAATGCTTTAGAGAGGACAAATCATGGAAAGTAAAATAGTCAATCACTTGCTCTAGAGAGGTCTAATATTTGAAAGTAAAACAGTCAATGACTTGCTGTGGATCATGTGAAGACAAATGTCTGCCACCGATGTGTTCTGGGTTTTAAATCACGTTTGACTTGTCTCTCTAGGTCACCGGTGTTAGTGTGTGATCGTGTGGGTTGGAGTGTGTTTGTGTGTGTATTTGTGTGTGTGTGTGTGTGTGTGTGTTTATTTGTGTGTGGGATAGCGCCCCAGGGTGTCAACAACCAAAAAAATCCGAATGTTGACAGTATCAAGATAAAAAACACTTTTCCCTAACGATTTTGGTGGGTCTAGGAAAAAAGAAAAAAAAATGAGCCAAACAAGGGAGGTAAGGTATGATTAGTTGGGAGATCAGAGTTGTCGGTCCTGACTACCCGAGTTTCTACTTAGATTATTGATGTACATCATCAGTTCAACATCAGCACGTACAAGTATTGGCTAGAGTATTACGTGTAGGAGGATTACGTGCATGATTTGTTAAAATGGAAATATTTGAGATTGAAGATAAAAATAGGATATAGAGTAATCCATTTAGTATGTCCATTAAACTTTGGAATTTTAGACTTCTCTCCACCCTCGTCATCTTTCCAAATATTATTTTTGTAGTGTCTGTTATTTAGCCTAAATATCAAAAGTAGAACCAAGATTATGTTGAAAAGCTTGATTTATTTTTATGTTTTTTTCTCTCATACCAATCAAAACTTAGCTAAGTGTTAAGCATTTATTTTTTGTATGGAAAGAAAGAAACATAGTTTTTCGCATGATGCCTAATTAACAATCAAATAATTTATAAGTCGTAAGGTCACCCGGGGTTCATGGTCTCTAATTCTGTTTATGTTGATTCTATTATTGTATTCGGGGGGGGGGGGGGGGGTTGTGGGTTGTATAAAGAGAGATTCGAACATTCTTCGAACTTTCTAGACGAAGCGTAACGAGAATATAGAGGGCTGAAGAATTTTTTTTTGCGATACGGCTAGTAAGTGAGGCTTAGCCGTGAAAATTTCCCGTTACAACAATTTTTATTTTTATTTTGTAAATTGCAATAAATATCATTTTCATCATATACTCAATGTTGACGGAGCTGATAAAACTGTGGAATATTCGCTGCCAAGGTTTAGAAAGAGGGAGGGGGGGGGGGCTCTGGTTTTAACCCAAACCGAAATTCTGAATGAGAGAATTAAATTTTATTATTTCCATGACCCACATTTTTACATCGTCTTTTCCATACGTCATTAACTATATTTTTTTACTTTATCTTTCTTGATTGCTAATTTTTCTAATGGTTCGATTTTTTTTCTTATGTTAGCTCAGTATGGGATTTCGCCATCCACATACAGGGAACTATTTGCTTAATGAACTTGGATATATAGATATTGCAAGGGTTTATTCAGTGTGTTTTGAACCAGCAACGAAACAGAAATCAAATATATTGACAGCCAGTAGCATAGACTGGAGGTATTTGGAGTGGGTTCGAACCCCCATTCAATGGATACCCCCCACAAATGGCAAATTTCTTAATTAAATTAAACGACAACTCGTGACAGCGTCACACTTGAGTCGCTTCCAGTTAAAAATAAAATAATAATCGACAGTCCATACCATATGTCACTTTCTCTCTGTCACTTTAATACAATAAAATGACGAGATTATCCTACATTTTTCAAGTCACATTTCAGAATTCAGCCAATGCACCCCCCCCATCCACCCTTTCTTCGGACTTTGACGTCACTAAATATTATTTTAGGTAGTCGACCAGACTAATGTCGTTTACTTTGGGAACATGGTGTTATGTGCTGTTGTCTAATGTCATAAAGTTTCTGTACTTAAAGGCAGACTACGGTAGTTTGGTCTTCCTATTAAACAGCTCTGTTTAAAGACATCACAGACTAGCTGTTTCTTGCCTAGACGGTAATACACTGGCCTAATCTATTGAATCACGTTCTCCCTCTTTCTTCGACTGTCTTCCTAACTACTAACATATCTCTTTCCCTCTCATTGAACTGACTGATCAACTACCGACATATCCCCCCCCCAATTAACTGACTGTTCAACCACTATCCTACCCCCCCCCCCCCATTTAACTGACTGTTCAACAATTGACATATCCCCCATTTAACTGACTGTTCAACCACTATCCTATTTCTCTCTCCCCCCCCCCATTTAACCACTATCCCATTTCTTCCCCAGCCGTCTCCGTGGGGGTGAGTTGCTTCACGCTGGTCGCCATTTCTCTCGAGAGATATTTCGCCATCTGCCGACCCCTGCACTCAAGGTCATGGCAAACACTGTCTCACGCGTACAAGTAAGTTGGTGTGTGAGAGGGTGACCTTTGTGTGAGGGGGTGACCTTTGTGTGAGGGGGTGACCTTTGTGAGAGGGGTTGACCTTTGTGTGAATAGGTGACCTTTGTGTGAATAGGTGACTTTTATGTGAATAGGTGACCTTTATGTGAATAGGTGACCTTTGTGTGAATAGGTGACCTTTGTGTGAATAGGTGACCTTTGTGTGAATAGGTGACCTTTATGTGAATATGTGACCTTTGTGTGAATAGGTGACCTTTGAGTGAATAGGTGACCTTTATGTGAATATGTGACCTTTGTGTGAATAGGTGACCTTTGTGTGAATAGGTGACCTTTATGTGAATATGTGACCTTTGTGTGAATAGGTGACCTTTGAGTGAATAGGTGAACTTTGTGTGAGTAGGTGATCTTTGTGTCAGTGGTTAACTTTTGTGTGAGTTGGTGTGGTGGGTGACCTTTGAGCTAGTAAATGACCTTTATGTGAGTGGGTGACCATTATGTGAATGGTTGACCTTTGTGTGAGTAGGTGATCATTGTGTGAGTGGGTCTGGTGTGTGACCTTCGTGTGAGTTTGTGTGGTGTGTGACCTTCGTGTGAGTTGGTGTGGTGTGTGACCTTTGTGTGTGGTGGGTTACTTTGTGTGGGTGTTTTTGTGTTAGAGAAGTTGTGTAGTAAGTTCGAGAAATAAATTACCTGTTGTCCCCAGTTGTATCTTACATGTAGCTTACCTGTTGTCCCCAGGTGTATCTTTAGCTCACCTGTTGTCCCCAGGTGTATCATACATATAACTCACCTGTTGTCCCCAGGTGTATCGTACATGTAGCTCACCTGTTGTCCCCAGGTGTATCTTTAGCTCACCTGTTGTCCCCAGGTGTATCGTACATTTACTCACCTGTTGTCCCCAGGTGTATCTTTAGCTCACCTGTTGTCCCCAGGTGTATCGTGGTATGCTGGGTTCTGTCAGGTGCTCTCATGACACCTGTCGCCGTCTTCCAGAAACACATGCTGCTCCGTAACGGCGCCCACATGTGCCGTGAGGTCTGGCCCAACGCCCGCGTGGAGCAGGCGTACAACGTGCTGCTGGACCTGACGCTCCTGGTCCTGCCCGTCATCATCATGAGCGTCGCCTACAGCCGCGTCGTGCACGCACTCATCTTCGACGTCAGGTCAAGTCTGGACCTTGGTGTACCTGCTAATGGTAAGTCAACTAAGTAAACTGGTAATGATAAGTCAACTGCTAATGATAAGTCTATTGCTGATGGTAAATCAACTGGTAAGTCTATTGCTGATGGTAAGTCAACTGCTGATTGGACCTTTATCATTTATAATTTGATAATAATATCTGTTTTTCCCATCAATCTGATACAAAATTTAAAAATAATATATATCTTGTTGTTTTTTTAGCATTTCCTTATAAACGTCTTTACCTGAACGCAGTAAACTTGGTCGGTCTATTCACACTCTAGCCTCTAACGTTACACTCTATCGGCCTATTCACACTCTATCCTCTAACGTTAAACTTATCGGCCTATTCACACTCTAGCCTCTAACGTTACACTCTATCGGCCTATTCACACTCTATCCTCTAACGTTAAACTTATCGGCCTATTCACACTCTAGCCTCTAACGTTAAACTTATCGGCCTATTCACACTCAGCCTCTACCAATACGTGACCCGATCGACCTGATTGGTCCCTGGCGGAAACAAATGAATCGTTTGTTCATTGACAGTAATTTCATCTTTGTCAAATGCCGAAATATTCCATTGGTTGGTTGCCACGTGACATTTCATATTCATCTGTTCTGATTGGCCTAGAAGTCGGCCATTGTTGAGCTCACAGAACCAGAGTACTGCATATGTTTAACGCTCATCTGTTAGTGAGGGATTTTTTGAGGGAAACCAATTTTAATTAATAAATAATTAAGGGTATCATTCATTATATTGCAGCACTTAGACAGTATTTGGAATAGGGTAATAGGTTCTAGCAGCATCGAAGTTAGAATTAGAGTTTGTAAAAGAGACAAAGATCAAGTGTGAAGTAAGATTAAAATTTAAAAAACGTATAACTTTTTTTTTCGCCTAAAGAACATTTTTAAATCAGTTTGTCTGACCCCAGCCACATAAACAAGAGCAGACGATAACCGTTTAATGAAATAAAGCCGTCAACAGACGGCACGGGATGTATGGACACCTGGGAACGCTGGGATAGATCTAACATGCTACACGGGAAAGGTCGAGAAAACTAATTAAAACAGGCCACGCCCATCACTTACTGCTGATTGGGGGAAGGCGTGAAATGCTCGTGAGGAGCTCGTGGTGCAGGTTTAAAACATTCATTATATTATCTAATTAGAGCATAATCAGCTGAAAGAAATGGTCCGTTTTGTTAGAGGATAACGTTGACGTTTAACAACTACCGTATTGTTTGTTAAATAAAAACGTATCTTTTATTATTCAGCTCTCAAAAATGGCTTCTTACGTATCAAGCCCTTTTCGTCCTGTCATCGCTTGTTTGCGTGAGAAAGTCTGCTAACTTCGCTAGTGAGATGTTTTTATTTTTGTGTTTCACATTTTTTATATACGTCATAGTTTCTATTTATAGCCGCCTCTTCTCGTTATTTTGTGTTCTGTTGATATTGCGAATTTACCATAAAACTGGCTCAAAAAACTGCAAGAAACACAGCTGATGTACCATACTATCGTGGCCCTAAAACTATAACAAACAGAAAATGTACCATAAAATTATGTCTCTAAAACTATAACATTAAACAGCTGATGTACCGTATTATTGTGGCCCTAAAAACAAAACATAAAGCAAATGTACCATAAAACTATGGCTCTAAAACTGCAACAAACACAGCTGATGTACCATACTATTGTGACCATTAAACCATAACAAACAGAAAATGTACCATAAAACTATGGCCCTAAGATTGCAACAAACACTATGAGACAATGAGACTATGGCCCAAAATTCTCCCTAAAACGGTGTATGTACCATAAAATCGTGGCCCTAAAAGGTCACCTTACCCAGCCAACATTGTGTACATTTTATCCTCCCATGTCGTGACAAATGCGAAGCTTGGTCTCTGGAGAAATTTACTCGCAAGTATTGTCTGCCCTTTAGGGTTGATTGTTCGTTTAGAGTTGTAGCCCTTGCTTTATCTTTCAAGTGTAAATATAGGGCACATTTCATTAACTGATTAAAAGAGCATTGGACTTTTTTTTATTTAATTGTATTTTTAAAATATATGTTCTGTAAGTTTTAGTTTAAATGTATTTAACAAACAAATGCGTACTATGTTAAGTTGATTTAATTATGAATAAAGTAAGCACCTTAATGCCCGCGAGAACTTTTCAATTATCATCAGGGTAGCAAGGGCTTACCCCAGCCCCCTCCTACCCCCCTCTATCAGCAGCCTTAGATACGAGTGTTTTAATGATAACTAGCAGACGACGACCCTAAAGCTAGCCATTGGAGAGTCCTGCAGGCGGCACAAGAGACTGGTACCAGACATTATTAGACAGGTAAAACATGACCCTTGGGAGGAGATGGTCTAGTCTGGAAGGGGACAGGAAACATGGCCGTTATGTAGGGTGGGGTTGGGGGGGGGGGGGAGTGTGCTTGAAAATTTCAAACAATCAGGTAGCCCTCGCGGTACTCGTGAACTGTTGGCTCTAGAAGTAGGGTGTGGTTGGTGATGTGGTTGGTGGTGTGGTTGGTGATGTGGTTGGTGATGTGGTTGGTGGTGTGGTTGGTGATGTGGTTGGTGATATGGTTGGTGATGTGGTTGGTGATGTGGTTGGTGATGTGGTTGGTGATGTGACTGGTGATGTGGTGGGTGATGTGGTTGGTGATGTGACTGGTGATGTGGTTGGTAATTAGGTTCGGACCCTGTAACAGTATCATTCCTAGCCAATGGATAATAATCAAAACAAATGGGTCGTTTTAAAAATCAGACATTTCACAATCAGTGGGTCATTTAACAATCGTTGGGTGCTTTAAAAGTTCTTCATTCAACAATCACCGTATGAAAAAGCTAGAGTTCGTATGTTAAATGTCCAAAGTACTTAGTTGTGGTATTCGGTATGTATTATTAAAATATCGAAAATGTTATCATAATGATATATTAACAACAACTGTCAGTCATACGAATGTCAGTTATAAGTAGGATGTCATGCACTTTGTGATGAAAATCGGGCGAGGCTTAGAAAAGTCGACCTGCAATATTTCAACCAATATTTAGCCCAATCCCCTTCAAAGTAAATAGAAATCATGCACATTAGCCATATCCCCTTAAACTTTTGTTATCTGGGATTAATAGAAATGATGCACATCCTGATATCGGCTTTATGGGAGAACCTTTTTATGGACAGGACAGAAAAAATTAGAACGATAAGGGTATAAAAATCGGTAATTTGTTTTATCTATTTTTAGAACCGGATATTTTGTTAACATTCATTTCTTTATGAATGGGAATAAAGCGAATAAAAATTGTATACACAACCTCGAGAGAGATTCGGCGTCGCTACAAGACAAGATGGAAGCTCTGAGACAATGGATGGCACACAATGAACATCCGGTCTGGGCAGATCTCACACCTGTGACCTGATGCGCGCGCACACCTGAGGCTTTGTTTTTCCTCGGCGCGAAGTGCGGGATTAGACAATGTTACGTCATCAGCCACGTGACAAAAGTACCCAGGATTCACCGCGGCTTTAAAGGTTTAACTTGTTTGCTTGCCCGAACAATTTCATGATCGAAACTCTGGACTTCACGAAACTGGGGTTAATTTTTTGTTAAATTCTACAAAAATACGTCTCTACTTTTGTTTCTTAATTAACAAATAATCTTCCATTAACTTAAACTTTTTCGATTTCTTTTCCAGCAACAACAGTTTTTAAATGAATGTATTGCAAGGTCATCACCATGACCCACAGACTTTATAATTCTGACCCCCAAATATATACAATATGACCCACACACTAATACAGAATAACAAACATCTTTACATCATCACCCACACACCATTACATCATTACCCACACACCTTTACATCATGCCCCACACACCTTTACATCATGACCCACACACATTTACACCATCACCCACACACCTTTACATCATGACCCACACACCTTTACATCATGACCCACACACATTTACACCATCACCCACACACCTTTACATCATGACCCACACACCTTTACATCATGACCCACACACCTTTACATCATGACCCACACACCTTTACATCATGACCCACACACATTTACACCATCACCCACACACCTTTACATCATGACCCACACACCTTTACATCATGACCCACACACCTTTACATCATGACCCACACACATTTACACCATCACCCACACACCTTTACATCATGACCCACACACCTTTACATCATGACCCACACACCTTTACATCATGACCCACACACATTTACACCATCACCCACACACCTTTACATCATGACCCACACACCTTTACATCATGACCCACACACATTTACACCATCACCCACACACCTTTACATCATGACCCACACACCTTTACATCATGACCCACACACCTTTACAAGTAGTATATTAGGTCGCTTTTGGACCGCATTTTTGGCGGAGGAGCGGATGCGGATGCGCAAAGGTTATATAGTAAAATACTCGGAGGAGCTGCCGCAGCCTGCCGCAAAGAGATATAGTAAAATACTACGCCAACTGCCGGAGGAGTGTACGCCAACTGCCGGAGGAGCGGATGCGGATGCGCAAAGACATATAGTAAAATACTACGCCAACTGGGGTTGGCGGAGGAGTGAAGGGTGAGTCACCTTTTGGTGACCTTGTGACGTAATCATTGACCTTGTGACGTAATCATTGACCTTGTGACGTCATCATTGACCTAGTTACGTAATTTTAATGCGTTTTTTAATGAGTTTTAATGAGTTTTAAAAATTTTAATTAATTTTTTGACCTAGTTACGTAATTTTAATGTGTTTTTATTACGTAATTGTTTAATTTGTTTGTTTACTTGTTGTTTAATTTAATTACTTTGTTTATATTGTGTAATTTTTATTAACGAGTTACGTAATTTAATTACTTTGTTTACTTGTTTAATTATTTTTATTGACGAGTTACGTAATTTGATTTTAATTTTGTTTATTTTAAATTGTTTAATTACTTTGTTTATATTTCTT